CTCATGAACTTCCCCACTCAATCTATCAAGACCCGAGCAGTTCTATTAGATATAAGAAACAGAGATAGGGAGCACAACAACCTATCTCTTCGTCAGATGCACTCCCCCCGCTTATCTAAGCGACTCTGTACCCCGTTACCCTCTACAAGGCCATAGACCAGCAGAGGGAAAATGGGGGGTGGGTAAGGGTTTTTAAGAATAAACCACAAGGGTCTAAAGGGAAAAAAAGATGAAATATAAGTTACTATATTTTAAGTAATCCTATCTACTATTCCTATATTCGAATAATGTATAAACTATTTTAAAAATACTTTATGAAATCCTATGTTATGTTATAAATATTAAAATAACTAACTAAATGAATAAATAAATAACTAAATAAATGAATACATAGATAATTAAACAAAAGCCAGAGAGAAAAAGTGAGTTTTAAGTGTTGATTTAAAACCCCCCAGGGTCTGGGCCGACCTCACATGGAGGGGCAAAGTATTCCAGAGCCTAGGGCCAGCCGCTGCAAAAGCTCGAAGTATATTCCCTAATATAAGAGGGAAAGAAAGAGAAACTTTAAACTGTTCAATTGTTATGATGTGTAAAGACTTATATTGTTCTATAATCGTCTGAAACTGTTAAGTCATGATGTGAAACGGTTAACAAAGAAAAAGGGAAACTCAAGCTGCTGCTACACTTTATTTTATTTATCTAAAATTAAGCACTTTTAAGATGCACATATTTTCAAAAGCTATTTTATTTATTTTCTCTATTTATTGCAAGTAAGGAAGTTGTTGTACATGAGTTTGGGTCTTAATATGCTCTGCTCAATATGGGCCTAATAAGGCAGTAGTACCACAAGAATAGTAATTATCCCATAATAACACTTAACAAATATGATCTATTCTTATGTAACAAGATATGAGTGTTAATTAAGTATAAATAACTCAAAATTGGGTATTTCTATCTAATATATGTTCCCTATTTTAAAGTGAAGTCTTGTTCATAACCAATAAGCTAGTAGTTTGACTCTAATGGCACGTTTCCACTGCAGCGCGGAGCCCCGTTTAAGAGAGCTGTGATGTCAGCGGCCCGTTTTTGGTTGCGTTTCCACTTGGCCTAGTACTGGCTAGCGGGTCCTAATTCGCAGTTTTTCTGGCCCCATAAAATCGTGGTTCTAGGGCCTGGAACAACCAGGCTGAGTCGGGCTGAGTATGCTAAACTAGAGAGAGCTATTTTATTTATTTTCTCTATTTTATTTTTAAATGCAGCCCGAGAGGAACATTACACATATCCACAGTATTTGACTGTATATCTGTGTAGTTCAATGTTAATTGACAATAAATATTGTGGTTTATGAATTGTACTTTCTTTATTTGATTGATTGATTGATTGATTGAAAAGTTTATTAACAGCTTGTATATTGGGTACAGTACAGTACAGCTCAAAACATACAATTGTTAAGGGGATGCAGACCAGAGAAAGACTTTCGTCTTGTTTACATCAGGGTCCCCCATTTCCAATTCATCATATAAATTGGCAGTCAGTTGTTGATTACATGCAGACATTGATAAAACTACAGGCTACTTCAATATATATCACACTAATTCATAAAGCAAGTTAGACATTTTGAAGTTCCGGACCTTTGCATGGGGAGATTAAATCTAACTGGACCTCGTTGAATTTTAGTTTATTACCCCTGATCTAGATCCTCTGTCTCGAGCCAGTTAACTAGCGGGCCTTCTAGAATACCCTGGAACCGAGGGAAACTCTGAAAGAATACGCCCATTGGCTACAAATCAATATATGATTGGTTGATCAAACTGTCAGTCCAAACGTACACTGTAAAAAAAGTCAGTGAAATTAACAGGGAAAAGCTGTAAAATCACGACATCAAAAAACTGTAAATAGAGAAACAATGAAGCAGTGTTTAATTTACAGTAATATTTCGTAAAGTACTGAACCAAACAAAACTGTTAAATTCACATTAAGAATTATGTTAAAATAATGATATTTCATTGTATAATTTACAGATTACTGTGGTTTGAACACAGAAAAACTGTAATACATAAAACAATACAATACAGTTAAAATTGCAACATGACAGTGTTAAAATGTTTTTTATATATTTTTTCATTCTTGATTATACTATAATATACTTATTTCTTATTTCTATTTGTTTAATACATATGTTTATTTTGAAATTGGAAATAACCCAGTACTGAGATATTCTTGGAAATTAAATGAGAATCCATAAAACAGCTGGCGTTTGGATTCTGGGGCCGCCCGGCTATTTGGAGTGGAATGCAGCCCACGGCAGACAGCCCAAACAGTAATCGAACAAGCCAGTGTGGACGGGCCGTTACGTTCTTGTATTTTTTAAAAATAGGCTACATGCACTAGGGTCTGAGACGTACTTCCGCCTTAGCCGTTATACTGCTCGGACGCTTCCGGGTTGCTTCTGGTCTGCGTAGCCGAGCGTCCACAAATGTTTTACTGTTTAAATCTGTGGTTTAAATATGAGTCGACGGAAGATTTTCAAAACGGAGCATTTGCAAAGACAAGTAAAGAACTACTCAGAGCACTGCTGTGTCCCACTTTGTACGGCGTCAGCTAAATTCAACGGCGTCCTAAGTTTCCATGGCTTTCCGACCGAACTCGAGCTGCGAAGACAGTGGCTGGTTAAAATACGACGCGATAACTTTACAATCTCCTCTCACTCCAAGGTCTGCTGTCGTCACTTCGCTACGGATCAACTAATAGAGCCAAAAACCCTTGATGGCCGTAGGAGGCTTGTGAAAGGTGCTGTCCCAACTCTGTTTGAGTGGAATCACTTCACTGCTCAAACACCGCGGGCTAGTGTTTGGGAGAGAAGGGAGCGGCCCACTGAACCAGTCTCTCGGGAGGAGCAGGAAGAGCACATCGATGTCCGTGACCATGATTACTGCTCAACCCCTGAACCAGCTTCACTGGACATGTCCTCTCAAGCTACAGAAGACAACTCCAAAACATTGGAGGATCTGCAGAAGCAACTGCAGGAGTTAAGAGTCCAGCGAGAGTTTTGCTTACAGCGGTTTGCTGGCTCCGACGACAACATCCGATTCTATACCAGGTAATGTTTTGGCTAAATTCTATCCAAGTTTTTGAGATGGGTTAGCTTATAAAGAATCCTGTTTACCTGCCGTTTGACTGCTGACTATTTGCATGCAGTGTTGGAATAAGTAGGCTACTCAACTTAACTGAAGTATAAGTACAAATACTATGGTTTGAAAATACTCCTGAACTGAACATGTAGAATCATAAATCATGTGTTTTCATAAGTAACTAGAAACTATGAAGGTTAACTAAATGTGGTGGAGTAAAACATACTAATACTAACAACATACTGATAATACTTTACTACAAGTGGAAATCTTCAAAACCTTACCAAACCTTGACCTTACATGTCAATATCCACTGCGTTTCTCCCAGTTGCACACTTAAGAATGAAGAGTAAAAGTGGTCATTCTGTGTAAAATGTTCCCTGTATGTTTTAGATTATTATTACTGCTGCTTTAATGTAGTTGTTACATGTTACTGCTGTATATTACTATACCTGCACCAAGTGCCTTCTTAATCAGTCTATTTGAATTGTAATGTAGTATTATAGCAAACAAGAGGAAAGCATTAGCCCATGTGTTACAGTTAACGAGTCAATTAATGACTGACATGTGTCTTTTGTGTACAGATTCCTGAGCTATAACTACCTGATGGCCTTCTGGTTTTTGATTGAGCCTTCCATTTATAAAATGGTTCGTGTTACAAGAGCGATATCAGCTGCCAAGAGGAATGAAGAAGTGGTTACACACGCACGTCCATCAACGGTAGGCTACGTTTCTTTTAACACACAATCTAAACACAAACTGAAGGGAAAATGTTTCTCCAACATTTCATTGCTTTTGTGTAGGCTAAAAGGCTATAGTACTCAATCCTTTTTGAATACATCAGAGAACTAAAACAACTTAATGTTTTTCCCATGGTGTGCTACACTCATGACATTAATATAGTACCCTTTTTTTGTTTATCTTCCAGAGACAGCTGCTTCAGCCAATTGACGAGTTCTTCCTTTTTCTCTGCTTCCTGTCGGTGGGTTTGAAAGAGAGGGACCTTGCAAACCGCTTCAACGTACACCAGTCCACTGTGAGCCGCATCATTGCAACATGGACGAGTTTTCTTACAACTTTATTGGGGTCACAGTGCATCTGGCTTACACCTGCAGAAGTTCAAGCCCACCTCCCAGAGGTATTCAAAGATTTCCCAGACACACAGGTGATCCTGGATTGCACAGAGCTGAGGTGTCAAACACCATCCTCACTCCTCCTCCAAAGTGAAATGTATTCTACATACAAATCTCACTGCACCATGAAAGCCCTGGTTGGCATAGCCCCACATGGCGCAGTGACATTTGTTTCCAGTCTGTATGGTGGTTCTGTCAGCGACAAGGAGATTTTCAAACAATCTGGAATAGCTGCGTTGTTGACTGAAAACATGGCAGTGATGGTAGATAAGGGCTTCCTGATCAGCGATTGCTGCAAATGCAAGGTGTACTGCCCACCTTTTCTGTCAAAGCAGAAGCAAATTTCAGCCTATCAGGTGAGGGAGACACAGGCCATTGCCAGACTGAGGGTTCATGTGGAGCGTGTCATTAGGAGGATAAAAGAGAACAAACTTTTTGATGGTGTCATCCTCCTGTCCCATGCCTACAACATCAACCAACTGTTTGCAGTAGCATGTATGCTGTCAAACTATCAGAACAAAGCACTGGTCAAGAAATGGGTGAAATAAGACAAGATGATGACACCTGTGCAGGTAGCTGTGATTAAGCTGGGTGAGCACACCGTAATCCCGTGTTGCCTGACACACGCTAGTGTTTTGTTTGAATAAATGGTAAATAGCAAATTACAATGCGTTGATGATTTCTTACAAATGCAATGATTTACTATTCATTACACAAATCACTTCACTTTATTGTCTTTTTAAATACAATTGTATATTTATTTACATATATGAAATGTGACAAACAATATATATCAAAAACAAAATATTGAAATCACATTTTGTTGTCATTCAGAACACATGATTGAGGGATTGCCTCCTAAAAACAATGACGGCTGAGCCAGGGTCTAGCAGCTAACTGCTTACAGAGTTAACAATGGCTACAGTGCCCACTACTTTTTTAATGACAGGTACTTCGGCATGTATGTGTAAAAAAAAAGTCTACTTTTTCTCTGATTGCTCTTTGCACTTCTGGATCTGTGTATATTCTTTGCACCAGGTAGTCCTCTTGTGCCCACACTACAAAATCACACCACTGCATCCCAGATACAAGAAGTTGACCCTGTACTTGCCAGTAATAGGCATGGCTTTTCTTGAGCTTAGGGGAGCCACATTCCATCTGCACATATTTGCAGTCGACATAATTTGGGACATTGGGACATTTGAATTCAACAAGGCCAAATTGGGGATATTCTGTTGGGTCAAAAACAACTCCATCAGGGGAGGCACCAAGCCAGGGCGTAGAGGGGTGAATGACAAGGCCACAAGGGGAGTAGTTCACGTTTGCCAGTCTACTGTATTCAGCTGCTACTGTGGGCTCCATCTCGGCACCTCTCCTCATTTCTGCAGTCTGCCTTGTACCTTTGAGTATTCGCTCTGCAAGAGAGTTAGCAGAGCTCTCACCTCTGACGTGACAAATCTCTCTAAACCTAGAGGCAGTAACCCTGGGTTTGCGGAGCAGATGCCACTCTGAGCTAGAGCTTTGCTCACGGGTAGCCTCCTCAATTTTGTGAGACATTTCCAAATCAACAGATAAGCTGTTCATATGTAGTTGCTCCTCTTCTGAGCACACCAGCGGTAAATCACATGGCAAGATCACATACCCCTCTATGGGCAAGTGGGGTGTTGGTGGTGTGTCAGTGTGAAGTGTGGTGTACCGAGACGTCAAAGCAGGCATCTGATAGGACAGAACACTGCCCTCCTGCACAATCCTGAAGGCACTTTCCACAAGGGGCTTGTCAGGTCTCATGTTCATTGTGGTCACAAGCGGCCTGTCTTCAATGCTGAATGCTGAGTATGCCTCCGTAACTCTGAACAGGCAGGGATCTGGTAATGGCCCCACCATGCCTCTGTAGAATCCACTCCTACAAAGAATGGCAAAGACAATATAGCACATTAATGTGACAATAAAGGTTAGGAATACAGCACCAGAATTATGAATTTTAAAAACACAGGAAACACAATTTTCCAGCTAAAATTACCTTACTCCAGTCTGCACCATCCTATTTGGTACAGGCTTGGTGAAGACCATGGAGTTGATGGGCCCTGGCTTCACACCCTTAAGGAAAAGACAATTACTGTTCGTTGAGTCACTTTAAAACAAAAACTCTGTGAAAGATTACAAGTATTTGAACCTCATTGAAATTACCATTGTTCACGGCTTGTGCCATTGCTGTTCCGATTCAGTACAGCTATGCACAGGTGGCACAACTGGCATGTTCAGTTCAGTGTAGTGTGCTGTTTGGAACAGCAATGCTACTGTGTGATTGCACAAAACAGTTCCTGCAACACAGGAGCACTGGTTGTGCGTGAGCACCACTGGTGATGAATCACGAAGCGTTATCTAAAAAAGAGAGAAGAAATACTAGTGATTAGTAACCTCACTTGTTACTATGAGCCAGGAGGTTATGAGTAGAATTATTGGTTATTTTTACTGACCCATTATCCTAGAAGAAGCATGTATTCCTGAATGCTTAGTGTTACCCTCTTACCCTACAATACCACAATGAACTTTCTTTGGAAACTAAGATGCCTTGAAAATTGTATTAAAGCAGTTTTTACTATATATTTGAACCCCCAAACTTACACATCCATAATCAATGTAATAATATCTGACCAATCAGCTGTGATAAAGCAGGGAGAAGTAGGACACTGTTGAGATTCCCTTAAGGTAAACTAATGTTTAACTGAACTGAAACTCAATAAACAGGGGGGAACAGTGTCAATGCTGTCTGCCTACACTCAAACTGTGTGCTGTCTCGCTCTTCCGCATTGACCTGTAGCACAAGGCTCTCACGCTGACCTGCCCTGTCAGCCTGTCTTTATTGGACACTGAATGAAGAAAAACAGAGCAACAGCGTTAGATCTATACTCACGTCAACACATCTATGGCAACATTGCTTTACAAAAGCTGATACCATTATGCAGTGTGGCTAACAACAAGATAACCTTGGCTAGGCTATAAGGCTATTAAACGATAGTATTTGTTAGCAAAATGGCTAATGTTTTAAAGAATTAACACCAGAAACAGTACATAGTGTTACCCAGAGCCCTATAGTAGTCTACTATAGTAGTAGTATAATAATAATAATAATAATAATAATAATAATAATAGTAGTTATACTATAGGGCTCTGGCGTTACCTAGCTTTTGACAGCTAATGTTAGCGTAACCCGGAGCATAAGCTAGCTGGTTAGTACCGGTTACCTTCATAGTTGTGTATATATATGACGCAGCATATCATTTGAAGCCTTTATCGAGTTTGCTGGCTGGGGCTTTAGTCGTCCGGCAAATCCGATGAACATCTGACATTTTTAATTTCGGAAGCTCTTGTAGGCAGCGGGTGTAGAAGGTCGTCATTTTCAAACAGGAAATGAATCGGCCGCTATGATTAGAATGCGGAAGTGACTGTGCATGTAGCCTATTGGGACAGCCTCTCGGCGGATGTGACGCAAGCGGTCAACGAACGCAGCCTCCGAAGGAAACAGCCGCTGAACTGAGACACGCCTACTGAGCGTTCTTATTATACATCCATGCTACTGAGCAGTAGAGTTTGTTTCTTCTTATTTCATTGGACTATTTAATTATCGCGGGAGCAGCCACTTTTTGCAGGTTAACGGCTCGGTGCGCGGCCAAGTCTATCTCAAGTCTGCCTGCCACGGACCACGAGCTGTGTGCACATGAGCGGAGGATCACTGGTAAGCTAACCGTTTATTTTCTTCAAACTTCAATTATAACACGGTGTGTTGTCAGGACAATACTAGCTTCTGTTTGTGATTTATTGCATTTTGCAGTCATAGTTATAACGTCTACTGACAGGGAGTTAATTTAAATAGTCTGGTAACGTTATTGAAGTATCATGCTAAAAGCTGAACTCTTTATTTTTCGTTTAATTCATACTGTGGTGAAGCGGGGGGTTTGAAGCTACATCTGAGCAGGTTCAAATTTAACGGGCAGTCGTGTTAGCGTGCTAAAAATGATTACCTGCTGTTTTTGCAGGTTAACGGTTACGGCTCAGTGCGCGGCCAAGTCTGTCTCAAGTCTGCCTGCCACGGACCACGGAGCTGTGTGCACATGCGCGGAGGATCACATCTGTAGCACTGGTAAGCTAACCGTTTATTTTCTTCAAACTTCAATTATAACACGGTGTGTTGTCAGGACAATACTAACTTCTGTTTGTGATTGAGTGCATTTTGCAGCAAAACGCTACAGACGAGGGGTTATGTTCTGCATTGCATAGGAACCCCAGTGTTTTTAAAATGTGTTGGCGCAAACTGCAAGCAAACAACGGTGTGTTGTCAGGACAATACTAGCTTCTGTTTGTGATTGAGTGCATTTTGCAGTCATAGTTATAACGTCTACTGAGCGGGGGGTTTGAAGCTACATCTGAGCGGGTTCAAACTTAACGGGCAGTCGTGTTAACGTCAACGCCGTCAACGTTAACGCCAGCCTAAGGCACACCTGTGCAATAATCATGCTGTCTAATCAGCATCTTGATATGCCACACCTGTGAGGTGGGATGGATTATCTCCGCAAAGAAGAAGTGCTCACTATCACAGATTTTCAGATTTGTGAACAATATTTGAGATAAATGGTTATTTTGTGTATATAGAAAATGTTTTAGATCTTTGAGTTCATCTCATGAAAAATGGGAGCAAAAACAAAAGTGTTGCGTTTATGTTTGTTCTGTGTATGTCCATAGCAGTGCATTGCTTCAGGCATGAAAATCACTCACCTTTCGGCGAAATTCACCGTTTTCAATCCAAAATAGGTGGTTTGTGTGATTCATGTAGATCTGCAATAAAAATATTTTTGGGGTATAGGGGGGTCTGGGATCCGGAGTAATCTGCGGCCGCGAGCTGTTATGTGCCGTCATGAGACGCATGGTGTTCTTTTTTATATATTATAATGCAGCGCGAGCTGTGTGCTCGAGTCTTCCTGCCTGTCGGCTCTGCTGCTCCGCGATGATGGTCTAGCTTCAGCAGCCACATTACCTACGGGTGCGTTCGTTAATATTAACTGTGCGGTCCGGAGTCACTGTGTTACAGACTGGACCGCTGGTGAACAGCTGTTCAGAGCAGAGCTCCCTGTCGGAGCGCAGAGCGTGATGTGCACTGAAAAGTTTTTCTGCCGCAATATTATCGTTGAGCTAGCTAGCTAGCTAGCATACATTGTCACTATCAGCTAACGTTAGCTTTAGCCTTCGTTTTCTAATCGTTTTTTTTTCATAGGCTATAAACGGAGGTGGTATAAGTATAGATCTTGTACTTGAGTAAAAGTAGAAGCACTCAGATCTTGTACTAGAGTAAAAGTAGAAGTACTCAGATCTTGTACTTGATTAAAAGCAGAAATACTCAGATCTTGTACTTGAGTAAAAGTAGAAGTACTCAGATCTTGTACTTGATTAAAAGTAGAAGTACTCAGATCTTGTACTTGATTAAAAGCAGAAATACTCAGATCTTGTACTTGAGTAAAAGTAGAAGTACTCAGGTCTTGTACTTGAGTAAAAGTAGAAGTACCAGAGTGTAGGAATACTCTGTTAGTAAAAGTACTGCATTCAAAATGTTCCTCAAGTAAAAGTAGAAAAGTATTCTCATCAAAATATAGTGAAAGTAGCGACAGTAAAAGTAGTCGTTGTGCAGATTGGTCGATTTCAGAATAATATATATGAAATGTTTTATAATGATTGATCATGAAAGTGTTCTCAAAGCTGGTAAAGGTGCAGCTAGTTTGAATGACTTTGTATACTGCAGGGTAGCTTGTGGATTTACTCCAGGTGGAACTAAAGTCTGATTCAACACTTGATTAGATTTCACATCATTCATCCACATCTGTAAAGTAACTAAAGGTATTAATTAGGGATGCACGATATTGTTTTTTTGAAACCGATAGTATGGAAGCAAACAAGAGACAGAAGTATTTGAATTTTATTAGACACCGAATTTATAGCATTGAAAATAATTACTTTGAAAATCATGAATCTGAATTGTTTTTGCTCCGAATTTATCTATGTGAAATAAAATTGTAAAAATTCAAGTTAAAAAAAATTCGAATGTTCAAATTCAGATCCCAAAAATTCAAGTGAAAAAAATTCGACGTCAAATATTTCGGTGTTTAAAATTCGATGTAAAAAAATTCGGTGTGTAAAATTCGACGTCAAAAATTGCGATGCAGCCTCATCCGGGCTACTCAGACAGGATAAGCAATCGAGCCCTAATGCAATCAAACCGACTTCTGGCCTATCAGAGCCAAGCGGCAAACCCCGGGACAGTGCGGTGAAGCCCAATGCTGCAAACTGTAGGCGATGGATGCAGATGGGAGCAATTCCCGTAGACCCTTTGTTAAAATGTCCAACTTAACATCAGAAAATGAACATGTTTCTAGCCTGGATCTACAAAAACATATTCTGTATATAGTTAGATTCCCCCTTCATGACAACGGGGCTGCTGCTCCTAGCTCCTCTCTGCTAGCTCCGTTAGCTCCGTGATGCTACAGCGGCTCAGCTCATGAGGAGAACACTACTTGAACTCGGCCGTGTTTGTTGTGTTGGCTCCTGGTGGACTATTCGTCCTGCAAATATAGGATTTATCTGCCGTTGAAACAGACCGTCCATGAATGCAGTTTCTTCGGTAAGTCAACCCTGCGTACTTTATGTTATGTTACTGGTGTTTTTATTAAGCTAACGTTAATGAATGTTTAGAGTTGGGGTAGCATTTGAGCAATCGTAGCTCCATCTGTGCTAACGATGCTATGCGTAGCATCCAAGAGTGTAAAACATTAAGTGGGATGCTACTGTATACCAAAAGGCTTCTGTGCGAGGTTGCTAAAATAAGGTCATCTTTGTACGTTAGATAGTTAGTTTGCTATTTAGGTTACTGTATGCATTGTTAAGGTTCATTTAAATTCGCTATGCTCTACTATAGCATAAAATAGACTAGCTAACTTCAACGTATTGTTGAAGAGAGGCTTAGTGTATATTAAATCAACCTCACAATGAAATATGTGTATCTTTAAAATATGAACGTCACATTTCAAGATAATAACGCTCCCTTAGATATTGTAATATGGTTTGTTGAACTGGAGTTATTTATTGCAGCTAACCGCCTATCCGACGAACGACCCAAACATTGTTGTTTTTA